AAGTAATACTAGCGACCCTACGGGTCGCTAGCAAGTGGGTCGGGGCAGATACAATATAAGGCCTCAGTTGTCACTATACATATTTCTAAGTAAGTTTCCTATTCCTTTGAACATTTTTGCGAAATCAATTCCGACAGCAACGAAATCAATCGTCTAACAATAAGAACTTTGTCAGAGAATCCTTCAATTTTTTCGCCAAAGAAATATGATGCTTCACTACAAAACGAGATTCCTCCCCGAAGAGCACGACTACTGAACCACCTGAAGACCGTCAATCATAAGAACTGCACAAACGTACACAAAAATTTGTTTCCCTGTCCGATTAAATTGCCCCACGTGCCGCTTACAAACCATCATCTATCTGAAAGACAGTTCATGCCCTACGTGCCGCTTGAAGACCGTTTGAAAATTATAAGAACTGCCCAAACGTACAAAGATCTGTTTCCCTGCCCGATCGAGTTGCCCTACGTGCCGCTTACAGACCGATAGTAACCATTCAGAAAGAAAGTTTATGCCCTATGTGCAGCTTGAAGACCGTATATAAAAGAAAAACCAACCTTACGACTTTACAGAAAGAAAACAACGAAATCAAGTATTTAAAGCGTATTCTCAAATTGCCGTACATGCCACTTTTGAACTTTCAATTCTGAGAACTGCCCAAACGTATCATCGACTCCATGATTCGTGTAGAGGCGGGGTTTTGCCAACTCAAAGCGTGGCGGTTTTTGATAGCGAGAGAGTGCGAAGAACAATGCTATGACGTGGAGATTTAACAAGTTTACCTGTGTTATCAGGCAAAGTCTGCAATACACCTCTACACAAATCGTGGAGACGATCATACGAAAATCTGTTTCCTTGCCCGATGGAATTGCCCTCGTGCCGCCTACACACCGATGCCTAGTTGAAAGCACCAGCGGGACCGAGTTACACAAGCAAAAGCAAGGTTGTTGTTAGATAAATGCTTCCAAAAGTATAATCGGCTCCCAGATTCGTGTGGAGGTGTATTGCAGACTATGCCTGATAACACATGTGAACTTGCTAAACCTCCACGTCACAGCATTGCTTTACGTAATCTCTCGCTAGCAAAAACCGCCACGCGGTGAGTTGGCAAGACTCCACCTCCACACGAATCTGGGAGCCGATGATACCACCGAGGCCAAGTTACTCACGCACTCTCTTAATTACACGTGGAAGCAAGATAATCCTAAAGTAACTGGTCTCAGTTAGAGCATTTTTAAAGAGTTGAAAACATAGATAATTTAGCTCGAGTCACGCTGTTACGCAATTTGGCATCATTTCAAAAGCAACTATTAGGGTACAACATATTTGAAAGATACATTCTGGGATAACAAGCACGAAAAAAAAGCGGGTAAATAACACACCCGGACACTGGCGACCCAGTCTCAAAATCATTGCGACACTCATGATTGCTTTCGAAATACGTGTGACCCTTTTACGAAAATATGCTTGGTCACTCGTTATGAATGGCAGCGTTCCAAAACGCATGCCAATTGCCAGCAATCCAAAGTCAAAGATCAGTATATTTCATCATAATTTTTCCGTCTGCTGTGTCCTCGATTGCCGTGTTCCACGGATCAGGGGTAACCAAGCGGTAAACAACGAATCCAAAATATATTACGTAGTGATCCTCTGTCAGTTCTCAGACAACCTCCGGGGGCAGGCGGGCACCGGAAAAATAGATTGCTGATCTCTCGCACCCCGCTCGCGGATTTTTTGGAAAGCAATCGGGACTTTTCGGAAGACCGCTTGCTGAGTTCTCGATTCCTCAGAGATTCAGCAATATATCTGCAAAAGATAAGAGCGAAAAAAATTCAACAGGCGGCCTCTCAAAAATCCGCTGACTCAGCAAGCGGTCTTCCGAAAAGTCCTGATTGCTTTCCAAAGAATCCGCGAGCGGGGTGCGAGAAATCAGCAATCTATTTTTCCGGTGCCCGCCTGCCCCAGCGATTGTCTGAGTTGGTGCCAGAAATCAGACTCTAAATCGCTTTGGTATACTGGATTGACAAGTGGTGCAAGAATTTTAATAACTGCTTTTTTCACCTTGAGTGCTTCCGCTCTACGGATCACCACAAAGCCAAAGCAAGTCCAAGTAAGCTCAAACATCTACGGCCTCGGCATACTTCACGGGCTTTCAGGCGCGACGCGATTTGGCAATGCTCCAATTGTCCATAACTCATCGTGAATTCCTTTCAGATGTACAAAAGATAAGACACTTTATCAGCCCAAGTAAGTTATACAGACTATACATTTGTAGTCTGGCAGTGTTGGATTTGAAGGAATCTGGCAAATTGTCAGATTGCGTGGCGACTGAAATCGCGTGAACTTTGCCCAAGACCTATAGCAGAATCTTCAAGGCTTATGCTAGCGATTCACATATTAGGTGAATAGGCTTCTTCGGAGATGAAGCTAGTGGGGTCAGGCTGCCTGAGCCTTTGTAAGGGTAGGGTAACGAAGGTCGCCAGTTTGACCGGCCTTTCGCGGCTGACTGGTCCTTTTGCAGTGTTGTTGCATGTCGTTCCAGGACCAGTCCGAGACTCGTATAGGCCGTCCGCGCAGGGCGCGGAGAGTGCGCAAGGTGTGTATTGCGCGTCACTCCTCTTTCCCCGTGCACTCTCGCCGCCTGTTTTTCTCTGCGCTCAACTATCTTCACTGGACGCAACAGCGTTGCTCTCCGCGCGCAGCGCGGACGGCCTATACCTATAGTTACAAATGGCTGCGAAAAGCGCGCCCCATGGCCCAATGCAAATTTGAACGGCGCGCAGGACGTTTAGTGTCGGAGCGCGCAATGCAGGCACGGATGTCTACTATTTAAGCTACATAGGCTAACCAGTGAAGATCTTGATCGATGACAGCTTATCAGTATCATGGAGTGAGCTGGGGAGGGCGTCGTATAGCCAGCGGCAACAAGTTGACATGAAAGGCTAGAGATTGTATGATTAATCTTTTTCTGTGAACTTTTTGCATGGACTTTCTTGTGTGACCTCTTTCAATAGCAGATTATGCAGCATGACTCCTTTCTTGATGCAAAGGGTTGAAGACTTCTATGGGCCCTACTTTTTGCTTTTGCTTGTTGAAGACAAAGCTGGTTTCCTTTTTTGCGTACTCACAATGAGCAAATTCAGAATCCAAATCTCGTTCTCTTAAATGGACAGTATCTGCATGCCCTGAGGTAATCTATAACAACCATGAAAGGTGGACTCTCTGCTCAACAACTCAGGCTTTCTTTTCATCTGTCACAAAAATGAAGCTCAAAGAGGCCGGATGTACAGCATTAGAATTTGTGAAGAAAGTTTTTTTCAGTTCATTATACTGCATGCAAAATACTTTTGGTTATGACATAATGGAAAGCAGTTTTATCCTCAGTGCGTCGCGATAGCTACCTAAGGCACGCGCCATATTTGATCCGCTTAATCCACTTGATCCGCTTGGTCCGCTTCGCTATTGGTCAGTTTACTGAATTGACCAATGGCGAAGCGGATTAAGCGGATTAAGTGGATTAAGCGGGGAGTAGGCGGGTGCCTAAGGAACCGGCCATACTATTCCAGGAGGTGACTGTGATTCCTGCGATCCCTTTATTTCCTGTGATTCCTCGACTTTCGATATGCCGCACTACGGATCGCTTTGCGAATTTCAATATACATTGTTTTTTCGCAATATACATTGTTGCGGGACTCACAGGAACCACAAGAATCGCACGAATTGCAGGAATCACAGGAATAGTATGGCCGGTCCCTAAGGAATGCGCTCAGATGAGGGGTGCGAGGCAAAGAAGCAAGAGGTATCTGAACCACATACTTCTCACAGGCCGTACTTATGCTTTTGTACACTTGTCCACCCATCAGATATGAACAAAGGCTAAGTAGCAAAAATTGAGTGATAAGAAGTAGTAAAGTGGAAAGCGTGATAGCACCCTAACTGAGCTGGAAGCCTAAATAAGCTGCCGAAATTGACGTATACAGTAATTTCCCCGAACAATTAAGCTATCAAAATCCATCTGAACTTACAATGCTCACCCGCAAGCTACTGTCCATTCTGGGAATAAAAAAGGTTTACTATTCCCAGAATGGATAGTAGCCTGCGGGTGAGCATTGTAAGTTCAGATGGATTTTGATAGCTTAATTGTTCGGAGAAATTACTGTATACGTCAATTTCGGCAGCTGTTCCTGTGATTCTCCTGCAGAAAAGAGCCGTTTTTCCTTCAGTGTCACTTGTTTCGCGTTGAAAGTAGGGTCTGCGCGCTGTGTTAGGGTTCCCGTGCGGAAGACAGATTTGCACTGGGACATGGGGCGCGCTCTTCGCAGCCATTTGTAACTATAGGTACGAGTGCAGTCCGAGAAGGCGCCCAAACTGGCAGTGTTCGTACCCCTATATGAACTTCTTTAAAATCCAGAAATCAATCCAATCCGGTATAAGCTCATGGCTCTTCTTGCCATAACGAAATTTCGGACCAAAATTGCCAGACTCTGGAGAAACAATGGCTTTTTTGATACGCCCATCCACGGGTGGAGCACTATATATCGCCGAATTTGGAAGAGTCCCGCGCGGATTTCCTGCAGGAACGCATGTCCGCGCATGTACAAGGGTGCGTATTTGTCGCAAATGACCGCGGGGACCGCCCTTTTTCGGCGACAGATAGTCCTCTACCCCCCTCCCCCCCCCCCCAACATCAAAATCGCCGTCAATTTGCGTGTACTTGTAAAACACGTGCAATCACAGAAAACGATCGTACAGTTGCCTAAATTTCAAAATCTTTTTGGGACGGGCTCGTGTTCTCCAGAATGTCACACTTTGAGTTCATGAGGTGAAGAGGAGGAGAAGGTGGTCATTTGGGGCTTTCCGGAGGGGGGGGGGAGTCGCTTTCGAAGCACTTGTGCCTTGACCCTTTGCTCGACCGTGGTTCGCCCGCAAGCTTTTGCGCCGTCCCTGCGCTACAGTTCGATCTCGAGCGTAGTGCTCGCGACTAGTCTCGCAATTTTTCCGACAAGACGACTTTAACAATATCATTGCATGCCGATCTTCTTGCATTGTGGTTATGATAGTTAGTCACGATTAGTCGGGTCGGAAAATTAGAGATGACATTCTTATTATTCTTCGATTCTGCCTTTTGGCACGCAATGCAGATCTCACCACGGACGTTCAACAACATTCTATGCTCATAAGGTGCAACGGTTTATGTTTTCGTCGTGATTTATGCTCGAATTTTTATTACTGTGAACTGGGAGGTCACCACATGGAAAGCAGCGAAGGTAGCACTACTGATGGTCTACGCTCATTCGACAATGTCGTTTGGTCACCTGTGAAAGACTCCGAGGCCCATAACACTAGCATCATATCGAAGTAATGTCATGAACTTTTATGTTTTTATTCTTTGTATCGATGCTGGTTTTATCATTCCAGCCCTGAATTATCTCGGCTGCAGTCTCCAACCACTTCTTACGCCCAGGATTTTCTGACTTCTACTCCTCGTCCACAATTCAAGATTAGTCGATGTTCCCCGTACGTTATGTTACACTTTGAAGCTTATCTGGCTTTCAATAACCTGCACCTACGCAACCTTTATGAGAACGTATAACTCTCGATTCAAGTGGATTGGCGGCTGGAAGGAGGAGCTCTGTGACCTAATTAAGGCCTGATAACGCTTTCGGGCTATTCTGAGCTTTGGGCGCTTTGGCTTCTTTGAGGAAATATGATGGGACCCTTATCAAAAATCCGTAATACTCTCTTTCAGTCTCAACAAACTCTTGTTTTTTTGAGTTTTGAGAGAGCATTCATATTTTAGTAGTGAACTAAAGCAGACAAAATGTTTTGAAAGCACATCCACTTTTTTGAAATCCACTTCCCCAATGGGACCTTTTGAGTTCCTGTTTGTTTTACTATCTATTTTGCTAGAAAAGAATTAGTGAGAGGTTGTATATTTGATTCGATTTTGTTCGATGCAAAATCTGTAGTACGTATAATAGAACATGACTAACCTCTGATTCAACTAGAATGGCGGCTAAAAGGCGGGGCTTTGTGATCTACATAATTAAGGCCGCCCGCGCCCGCGACGCAGTCTGCGTCTCTCTCGCGCGTGCCCTCTGATTACCAAGCCTTAATTAGGTCACGAAGCCCCGCATTCGGGCCGCCAAGCCAGTTGAATCAAAGGGTATATATTATTTATTTGAATCTTTAGTCAAAACCTGTGCTTGAATCAAAGTCTTGCTGCAGCAATTTGAACTTTTTTTGAAGCTAAGTCTGATGGAATACTACCAAAAGCAGTCGTGTATGTATGGGAGGGGAGTTAATAAAAAAATTGAGCCTTTTCTTAAAGAGGCAGGACAAGGGCTTTATTGCTCTATTTCATGCATTTATTGTACATGTTATTAAAAATGGCAATCTATAGGCAATTCATCGAACGCAGACTGAAAGCCTTTGCGTTTTGACCAAGTGGTGGAAGTGAAGCAGACGGTTGAAGGAATGAAAGTGTTTTTGAGCTAACAAACGTCTGCGAAAGGGTTTGTCCGCAGTGACGCCCTATCTCTGCGTGCAATGAATCACATGAATCACATATATTAATACAGCATGACTATAATTTTGTACGGTTGTCATTACTCCGCAACGGCTGTCAGCTACAAACACGATGTCGCAGTTTTACCTTTAAACATAAAGGTGACATAACACCTTCAACAGGTATCTGCACCAAAAGTATCTCTTTCTCTTTGAGTGTTTTACCATCTCTCTCTTTCACCACATTATTTGGTACATGGTCTGTACTTGTTGAATTACAATTTCCTGTTTTTTCTAAGTTAAGTTGAAAAGGTTGATCCTATTTGGAGACGCGCGCAGCAAGGCGAAGTACAGATTAAGACTCATCTTTTTAGTTTTTTTTTGTGCAGTATCTTCATATCGTTTCTTATCTTAGAGTCTCGAGTAGATGGTTGCGTTACTCCACCATCCAATACGTTTCTGGGCAAGATGGCGCTAGCCTTCTGGACACGAGGGAGTAGGTTTTTCTGATCAAAGCATTTTTATTTATTTAATTATAGCATAGGGAAGTTCCTATGATAAAACAAAACAAACATTTTTATGAAAGAAAGAGCATATTGAATGAAGTCTTCGTTTTTTAAAATAATTCTTGTAGTACGTTGTTACAGTTTTTTAAAGTTACTATTTGCAAAAAAGTTCTGACATGAAATGTTTTTCTTTTTGGCCCATATTCGGCATTTTTCAGAGATAACAGTCAAGGCTATCAACATTTCTACACGAACTACAAGGTTAGTCGTTTATAACATTACTTTTCATCCTGGGTGTTGTCTTGTCTAAACTTCATCAATCAGAGGTGGTTTTATGTATCATTCAGCGTGCCTGATGAATTCTAAACAATGTGTCATTTATCTTTACTTAAACTTTCCACATAACGACAATGCGGCAACGATAATTGACCGAACTCTTCTCATTCGGTCGATGTCCTTGTGCATTCCATTTCCTCTGCGCGTGTAATATGTCCGCGCACTAAAGCAATGATTCGCGAAAGAAACTTCGATAATAAACACCCATGTGTCTCACCCCTCTGCACAGTGCCCAATTCAACAGTTTTAGCACATGGAACTTTTTGCATACTTTATTGTCTAACAGTAATAAATCACCTTGATATAGACGCTAACTGTGGCGTCTTCGATTTTTATCTTTTTGCGGATCATACATTAATGATGAGATCGGATGACAGTAGTGACAGCATCAGTTACAGCGTGGGAGCTCCGCACTACTGCCATAACTGTGATTTCTATCCTGAAACTTATTCCATTGAAAAAGATTGTACTTCAAATTACAGTTACATGTTAGATCATTTGATTTCGTTCTTTAGTACTGGTTTCAAAAGCTCAAAAAAATTTTTGCTGCGAGTAGGAGGTGTCATCATTTCCAAAAGTCGCATGATGACATTATGATCATTTATCTTCATTTCAGCACTTTTACACCGACTTCCATATGCAACGTTCTCTCTCTTTGTTTATATGTGGGCGCAGTTTTTTTCAGTTTCATAGTCGCGGGCGACTTGCTGCCACCTGGTTACAATTAATCGCACTTTTGAGACAGATACCACGTATCTTAGGTGAGGTCTTTACTTGTTGCTATTAATGAACGTGTCGTTTGTTTTTATTCTCGCACAGCTCTTGTTTATCTTTTCACCATTGCATAACATACTCTGTATAGGTGCATTTTGTAACAACTATCATTTGGCAGAGTTTTCATCCAGCTCGAACTCGCAGGGCACATGCGAAGTACCGCGTGGTATAGATTGTTCCGACCGTATCAACTTGTCTGAACTATTTCCATCCTCTTCGGTTCATCCGGAGGGACAGGTGATCAATCAGAATCTTCTTGAATCTTTATGTACGTGCTTTGGTCATTGAATCCGAGTCGTGGCTTCCATTTAAAGTGGCACTTTTCATGCAGATGGCGTGACATCCCTTAGAATCTCCATAGTGATCACCATGTAGTACGAAAAAAAGCAGTTTTTGCTATTGTATTAGGTTGTCCGGAAATTAATGCCCGTTTTGAATTTCAACCGCAATAAGTCATACAGCTCACTTCTAAATAGGATGCAGAGTACCATTCGATAGAGTAAAGCAAGCTCTACGAAAAGGCCATCTTGCTTTTGCAACAGCTCTCATCCATCTCGAATTTCGAGCCAAAAACTAAAAAGACTCAGCAGCCCGAAAAATCGAAAAAAATCGTAACTGAGTTCACAAAAATCCTACAAGAATTCTTACTTGCTCACGTAAACACTATCCACATAAAACATCTATATACGCCTTTGCCGTATTCTTCCCTCCGTTAGAAACCAAGAAAACGGAAATTTTCGTGCATTTGCCAAAGTGATGATGTGCCGTCCCCACATGGGTAGTTGTAGACCACAAGCCTGTAGAAGTACAGACTCAAATTTTCAGCTCTCTACAAGCTTTAGTTCTCGAGAAATTTGAAGTTTAGCTTGGACCACCTAACTAGGGAAAGCTATATTCGGTATTTCTCGAGAACTAAAGCTTGTAGAGAGCTAAAAACTTAAGTCTGTAGTTTTACAGGTTTGTATTATAGAACTATCCATGTGGGGACGGCACAACACGACTTTGGCAAATGCACGAAAATTTTCGTTTTCTTGATTTCTAACAGAGAAAAAAAATACGGCAAAGGCGTATATAGATGTTTTATGTGGATAGTGTTTACGTGAGCAAGTAAGAATTTTTGTAGGATTTTTGTGAACTCAGTTACGATTTTTTTTCGATTTTTCGGGCTGCTGAGTCTTTTTAGTTTTTGGCTCGAAATTCGAGATGGATGAGAGCTGTTGCAAAAGCAAGATGGCCTTTTTGTAAAGCTTGCTTTACTCTATCGAATGGTACTCTGCATCCTATTTAGAAGTGAGAAGTGTATTACTTATTGCGGTTGAAATTCAAAACGGGCATTAATTTCCGGACGACCTAATATCAATGATTTAGGTGAACTCTGATTTTTTGAAGTATTATTACAAAATTAAAGTCCAAAAGGATCTTGAAATTTACTTACACTGTCAGGAATTCAGGTCACTGGTTATTGCCTGTTTTGGCTCCCTTTCTGTTTTCTGCTTTTTATCGTCAGCTCAAATGAAAAAAACAAAAAGAAAAAGGCAAGGATCAAAATGTAATGGAAAAAGTATTGCTTAAATAAAAAATTAATAAAAGTTTAAGTTTCAAGTTTATGTGCAGGTTTTCAGCAATCAACTTCGCGGTCTTATCTCCATACAACCGAGCCCATCTCGTCCAAAATGGGTAGCTTATATCGCAGTGAACCAATGAAGCTATGTGAGATGATTCTTGTAAAGCACGCCGCCTATCACTGCATCGGTGAAATAGGGAAGTATGGAAATGTGCAATTCAATGATGTAAGCTTATTTATCAACTCTTTGTTTCGATATCATTTCTTCTCTCAATGCAGTGTGCTTCTATTATCTCAAGATCAAGACTATCTGTTTTTTTTTGTCTTCTCTTTTTTTCCTATGTTGGATATGGTAGCTGACAGCTTGGTGCAGAAACAATAAACCATCTGCAGCCGTTGCAGTCATGCATGTTTGCTCAAGGCGAGTCGCTTACTCGGCTCCCGCGGAAAAATCAGGATTTGCCAATGTCAGCCGCTTCTCTTCTACGATCGAACTATCAATTTATAAGCCTGAGTCAGGCTTAGTGTTTTTCTAATGTTCATTTCTCTACCTCCTAATCTCTCGCATATAATGCTAAAGACTACCGAAAACACTTTATTTTTACCTGCTGGATTTTGATGGAAGATATCAACTCATTAATTTCCCTAGAAGGGGCAAACATTCATTTTATCAAGTTCTGCGCACTCAGTTTTACTCGTTAAAGTGTGGTATTAGATGCACAATACACATAACTGCGATACACATTTCGCCTAGAGCAGCTCTCTTCCCTATTTCTTTCCGATTGATTGAGTGGCACGTGCTTTGGATCCATGATGGAACATTCGAGTGTTCTTTGAAGTCTTCAGAATTTTCGATGCTTGATATCTTCATGTATTGCACATCCTGTTGATATTTCCAGAGTTTTTTTTTCAGTTGAATGCAAATAAGAATATATTCCAACGTACATTCGTGAGGGAGGTCAAGAGGTGTGAGGAACTGGAAAGAAAACTAAGTAGGTATCTTAAAAAAGGGAGTGAAAATTTTCTGAGAGTTCGGTCTTACATTACCCGTGTTCCGATGCTACCGGTGTTACTCGTTATACTAGTGTCACTCGCAATATTTTTTACTCGTGTTACCAGCGTTACCCGTATTACCGCTATTACTGCTATTGAATAACGAAACGATGACAGCTGACAACTACAGTCTCATTTTTCGAACTGTACCGATCGGTGCATAGATCAGCATGGCTAAAACTTTCGACAATATTACATTGCCTGACAACAATTCTCTTTGCCCAAATTTGCTTAATTTGTATATAAATAGTAGGTGACACAGGTAGCACGATAATGTATGGCCGAAGCCTGACCACGAGTCGGGGTTTTATTGGCGTTGACTAGTAGGATACATGAATTGCATGCTGAAATTTAGGATTTTTGGAGCGCCAAGTAGTGGAGTGTGTACCAGGAATTCAGCTGCAACCTATAGATGCCACAACAATTGAAACACCTTCACACGTCGAGATCAATCACTTAGAGGTACCTAAGACATGGTATGTATACCAACAGTATACTACATACAGGCAGTGTTAAACGAATTGGAACATGACTTCGTTGGTCTCAACAAGAATGATAGCCATCTTAGGAAAAACCTCAACGAAACGCGAGAATTTCAATACGTATTGCAGCGAGTTGAGCAATTTTTCGAAGTGGTGAGTAAGAAGCCTGTTATATTTTCCCCCTCTAAAATTCTTTTTTTCTAGCATATGGAAGATGAAGCAATGAATAACATTGAAGTGCCGCAGCCTGAAGTTCGTGAATTTCTTGATCTCGGGGTCCGCATATTTAGCGTTGTCTTTGTGATTGTTAGGTCTCCCATTTTTATTTAACCTCGCAAAAATCGGCCGTACTTGCTATGAAATGGTTGCCAAGAAAAATGCTGTTTATAAATTATGTTCATCTCATGTCAGCAAATTCTAGATTATCAAACGTTGTTGCAGCTGGATAATTTCTCGAAGTCGGTAACTCCTGGAGGCCACATTTCTGGTCAGAACGATATCCCTCTTACTCCGCTGCTACACGATAAGGAAGGGGAGAACGCTTGGTAACTAGGAACTCTGTCAGAACAAATTTGTTTTGCGAGGTCAAATAAGAAAGCAACATGATTTGAGGTTTGTTGCCGGAGTCATTCCTCTGGATAAAAGGAACACCTTTGAACGTGTATTATGGAGAGCATGTAGGAGAACTGCCTTCGTTCGCATTGGTGACATCACACTAACACTTGAGGATCCGGTAACTGTAAGTTTTTTCTCCTTAAAAAAGATGCTGTCGTGAAAAGCCTGTTACAGCCTTTACGTAGTAGTTTGACTGTGGCACAGTGTAAATTATGACAATTCTAGCTTGAACCAATCATGAAGTGTGCGTTCATCGTATTTTTCAAGGGCGAGAGTCTTAAGCTAATCATCGACAAAGTGTGTGATGGGTAAGGAATAAATGCAATAGTATTTACCTATACTAACAAATCTATCAACATTGAGTATTTTTTCGTAGACCACCAAGTAAGTCCTATTTTACCCTACCTCTAGGTTCAATGCTAGGCAATACCCATGCCCAAAAACGTCAAGAGAACGACAAGCAGCTTTGTTTGAGACTATGGCTCGGATAAGAGATCTCAACATAGTCCTGGACAGCACACAGAAGCATCGATTCCAGGTAGAGTGCTTATCTTGATTCACAGTTCTACTACTGCTTTGTCATTTTCAGATCTTAAACGATGTTGCCAAGGACTTGCCATTGTGGCTGAAGAAAGTACATTTGCAAAAAGCTATCTACAACACATTGAATATGTTTACGGTAGGCGAATTCGTTAATATTGTTCTCAATAAACAACGAGTAACTTCCTACAGGTGGATACCAATGGATTCCTCGCAGCTGAATGCTGGATTCCAGAAAAGGAGATGGACACTGTGCATACAGCTCTTCAAGATGGATTGGTGCGCTAATTTGACTTGATTATCAGTTACCCATATAAAATCACGAATTGTTTCAATTCTTTTTGTTGGCACGTATCAGCTGAGCTTGAAGAGGAAATCGCTTTTTGACATAAACAGGTAGTAGCGGTCCGAGAAATTACTGAGTAACTGGCCTGGCGTAGCCACACTCTCAGATGTTTTTTTGGGAAGCTTACAATATTTTCCGCTGGCTTTCATCTCAGCAGCTACGCCCTTAAAAATTTTTCACACATCTTATGTAATTTTTTCTAAATACTCTCAATTTTGTCAGTTATTCGCGAGTAGGAACCGATCTCTTCCGCAAATAAAATTCTTTATTTTGCATCTCACTTTCTATTCATCACTACAATCTCAAAGTGAGTTTTATAGAAAGCCAGTGGTTCCGGTGTTTCTCCAGTGCTCAATGAAATGGCCAAGCAGACGTCTCCACCAACCTTCCATCGCACTAATAAGTTCACCTCTGTCTTCCAGTCGATTGTCGATTCCTACGGCGTTGCGAGCTATAGGGAAGTCAACCCGGGTAAGTAACACCAGATTATGTTGTATTCAGTTTTTTGGAAAAGTTAATATTTTAGCCCCTTTTACAATTATTACTTTTCCGTTTTTGTTTGCTGTGATGTATGGTGATGCTGCGCATGGTTTGATATTATTTTTGGCAGGTACGCTCTATAAACACGACATGGCCTTGCAAATAGTTTGTCCTGTAGAGTGCAAAATAAGTCTTTTCAGGGATGTTTTTCATCGTTAATGAGAAAAAGATCATTGCGCGGCGAATGCGAGGCGAGGTCTGTTCACTTTTCAAAGCTCTCTATGGCATATTTTTACATCTCAGTCTGTGAAACTTGTTCAAATATCGTGAACAGATTAGTGCTTTATGATAGAGCTATACATATTGCTTCTGACCGTTGGTTAAAAACGACTTTCAGATTTTCAACACATTTTTTGGAGGTCGTTATCTCATTGTATTGATGGGGTTGTTCTCTATCTACACTGGAATACTGTACAACGACGCATTTGCCAAATCATTCAACGTATTCGGAAGTTCTTGGGTCAATCCTTACAAGTAGGTTTTTCCTTACAATTTCAATGCGGCAACCTACTTTATGAGTCATCCGATTCAGCCATTCTGAGATAGAGTCCTGGATGCAACCTAAGACTGATTCCCGCGAGAACAAGCTTACTTCTGTAATTTTGGACCCGGCTACTGCTTATCTGAAAGAGGTAGTCTTGTATTTAGACACTTCTTTATTTATCTGGAAATCAATCTATACAGCGTGGTCCATATCCTTTTGGAGTTGATCCCATCTGGAACATTGCCGATAATCGCCTATCATTTTCGAACTCCATGAAGATGAAAATATCTGTGATCATTGGTGTTTTGCACATGACTTTCGGCTTGTTTCTCTCGCTTCTGAATCATATGTGGGTAGCTGGGGCGGTCGTTTTCCTTCGTGTCAATGCTATAGTATGTGATTTAGATTTTACGACTCGAAGGTGGATATACTTACGAATTTTATTCCGCAAATATTGTTCCTCGGCTGCATTTTCATCTATCTTTGTGGACAGATGGTTGTCAAGTGGTTATTCTTTTCCGTTGAAAAGGGCGTCGTGCTAGGAATGCAATATCCCGGTATGCATCTTTTTACCGAATTACATCATCTGATCTTCAGTGTCAAAAAAAATCTAGGTCCATATTGTGCACCATCGCTGCTTATTGGTTTGATTAACATGTTTATGTTGAAAGAAAGGCCAGTGGGCCATTTGATGGAGCACAACAGTACCGTTGTCCATCCTACATGCTATCTGAACCAGTGGTATCCTAATCAGGTAGAGTGATGCTCATAATGATAAAATTTGATAAAGTTTAATTCTTAAGGCATTTGTTGAAAAGTGCCTTCTTTTTACTGCGTTGGGGTGCATACCCGTCATGCTCATGGGTCGACCCCTGGTAGCCTATTTTGAGCAAAAGAAGATGGCTGGTCGGCGGAAATTCCTCAATGGGATTCTCGGAGTAGGTTGATTTTAGTGACCTCATTCTTTGCTACTCTTTTCTCTGCACATCTGTCTCCATGAAAGTTCATGATTTTGAAAACACTATCATTCAGTCGTCTTGCTTTACAGGATGATTCGGAACATTTGATTGCTATTGATCGTTATCTACGTGAACACTCATTGAGTGATGCTTTCGTGCACCAAGCTATTCATACAATTGAATTTGTTCTTGGTTGTGTGTCACACACGGCATCATATCTTCGATTATGGGCTCTCAGTCTTGCACATGCTCGTGAGTTATTTAGGTTTTGTTACTCAAAGCGAGTGTCACCCCAGCCAAGTAGGCAGTTAACTCATTCTTTAGAATTTTCCCTTCTTTTCCATGCATCGCGGTACTCCTGACTTCCTTTGGTGATTTTTTGTCGAAGTGATCTGAAGACATTTCTGTCGCGGTTTTTCATTCGCTTTCTAAGAAGTGGTTGTTGATCGTCGTTATGAGAAGAATGGGAGATTTGTTTTGTAAGGAATTCTAGCTAGAACTACAAATGGAGCCTCGTTAGCTCAGTTGGTAGAGCGTTAGACTTTTAATCTAACGGTCAGGGGTTCGAGTCCCCTACGGGGCTGACTTTTTGCAGCACTTCAGAACTGCGGTTTTTCTGAAATGTTCTTGATTTTATGTAAGTCTGTGGATTTCATTACATTAAAGAGCTAATGGGGTTCTTAAAAATCTTATATATAAAGCTGAATGTCTGTTTGTCTGTCTGTCTGTCTGTCTGTATGTATGTATGTCTGTACGTATGTTCCGAATAGAAAATTCCATTTCTGAACCGATCCGGACCAAACTTGGCACACATACACTTCGGGCCCCGGCGGGTGTCATAGGCTACTTTTCGTCATCGATCGATATCGATTCTATCGATTTTATCGATTTTTTTGCAAAGTTTGAGCTACGGGGCTGGGAGCTGGCACAGGGGGGTAATCGAGCATGGGGATTCCGAATACAATATTGGTTTTCAGGATTATCGATTACTTTTATCGATTTTATCGATTTTTTTGCAAAGTTTGAGCTACGGGGCTGGGAGTTCGCACAGGGGGGTAATCGAGCATGCTGATCATCCTTAAGGGGGGTGATCAGCATGCTCGATTACACCCCTGTGCCAAATTCCAGCCCCCTAGCTCAAATTTTCAAAAAATCGATAAAATCGATAAAAGTAATGGACGATCTTGAAAACTAATATTGTATTCGTAATCTGCATGCTCGATTACCCCCTGTGCAAACTCCCAGCCCCGCAGGTCAAACTTTACAAAAAAATCGATAAAATCAATAAAAGTAATCGATAATTCTGAAAACTAATATTGTATTCGGAATCCCCATGCTCACTTCCCCCCTGTGCCAACTCCTAGCCCCGTAGCTCAAACTTTGCAAAAAAATCGATAAAATCGATAGAATCGATATCGATCGATGACGAAAAGTAGCCTATGACACCCGCCGGGGCCCGAAGTGTATGTGTGCCAAGTTTGGTCCGGATACAGCGGAGCCGGGTAAGCCAGCTAGTACTTAATATTCTTGGATTTTGAAAACTAAAGTTTATGAAATTCCCCCTGTCTGGAAAGCATCTCAAATTCTTAAATTTTTTATGCACTGCTTTCAAAATTTTCTTATCTAGTAATGATAAATTCTCGCAGAATCTAAGGGATAATTGTGATAATACGAATGAAACAAATTATGCACCAGCTCACTTATAACGGTCACTTGCGAAAGCCAGCGTAAGAATCATCATATGAAGTAATACAAAGCACCGTAACAATTATCATGCGAAGTAGAAACTGAAGTAGTGGAACTTTGCAAGTTTGTTCACAGAGAGTCCTTCTGCTGCCAAAAACTACGTCACTGTTTGTCACGTTTAGTTTTATTCAGTGGGGCTACTTTTTCAGAGCTTTCTGAGGTACTTTGGCACATGGTCTTTATTCGCGGTATCTCGTATGGAGGGAATGTGGTTTTATCATCAGTCATTACCTATGTGGTTGGTATCGTTTATAAAAGGCATGTTTACAATACCCAGAGGATTGCAGGTTTTCTTCTTTTTTGCCATCATGTCCATATCTATCCTTGTCATGATGGAAGGATTGTCAGCATTTCTTCATGCACTTCGACTCCACTGGGTTGAGTTCCAGTCCAAATTTTATCAAGGATCCGGCCAAGCCTTCAGACCGTACTCTTTACAAGAATGTTTGGAAACGGCGCAGCATCTATCAGAGGTTACCGATGAATTAACGCAAGTTTCTGAAATTGATGAAGATGAAGATTAATAGGATCTCTGTTGGATAGTTGAAACGCATTTATCCGTATCTCTTTCTCATTACATTTTTGCATGTTTAGAATATGTCATAGCATTCATTTTGTGATATATCTTTGTTTGCTGGTTTCTGTGATACTTGACATTTGAGTGTATACATTTACTGTTGAATTTCGTCAGTCTATGTTGAAATATGTTCCTTGTAAAATGTGACTTATTTTCTAAACATACGTATTCTGTTTGTTGCTGTGATTTCACTCAATTTTTTTTCTGGAAATTAATCATTGCCATCAATGTCAATGCTACGAATATTGATGCGCCTCGCAGGAGAGTTTATTGTTAGTTTTATGTTGGGAGCTCTTCATATCATTTTACACTCAAGTTGTTTCATAAATAAAATACCAATGGATCTAAGCACGAACAAAACAAACAATTTATAAATGGTGTGATGAAAGTGGTTCCAAGTTGGATGTGTAAGCGTATTCACTGAAAAAGGGTCTAAAAAGGTTATAGACGAATGAATATATGTTGAGGAATGAGACACATTTTGACGGTTGGTGTGCGATAGTTGAAAGAGTCAGGGGAAAAACCACAAAAAAAAATGCGCAGAACTTTTGCTCCAGTATTCCTAGCACCATCCCGAAACTTCTGCTGTCTGGAAGGAATTGGTAGAAAATCACAAGAAATTCACAGAAAGTCTTCCTCCACTATCTCTAGCACAATCCCGAAACTCCTGCCAGATCATCATGTTTTGTTTACCACAAATTTCTCAAAGCGTTCTGTATTGGGGGGGGGGGGGTCTTCTTTTTCGTTTTCTTGAGTGTGTAAGTGAAAAAGATGTTTCTTTCAAATTCCGCCTAGCGGTATAAGTTGAACTTTGTTCAGATGAAGTGTTCAATTTATCCTGCACGCTTACGCAAATCTCGTATGTAAATCTCTACTGTTACTTCTAGGGGAGGACCTGAAGTCGGAAGTGGCTTTTTATGAAAGCCACATGAATTTATATCAATCTGAAGGGCATCAAAAGTTGTTTCTGAAATTTGTTATCTGCTAAGCCCTGTAGTTTCTGAGTTATGAGAGTTGTTTGGCTCAAGAAATCGAACACGCAATTGGAACAAGTTCGTCCAAGATCGTGCAAATGGTGTAACGTTGGATATCAGAGCACTTCATCATGAATACCTTTTGTCTAATGTACTCACTCAACACTTCGTTATTGAGGCTGGAACGACCATAACAATACCATAACAATAGATTTTACCTAGATTGTACTATCGGTTGCTATTCTTGAATGTGCTGGTCAATATGACTTCGGTGTGGACATGACAAAATGTTACCGTAAGCCTAACAATATACAGGGTCCCAAAAAAATGTACTCACTGTTTGATTGTCAATAGCTCTCTTGTAATGAAATGTTTCGGGAAGCTTTAGGTACAATTTTCTGGAGCGAGGTTCAACTTAGATTTACAGTATAGAGCGAATCATCGACTTCTCTTCACTACTGTAGGATTGCGGTAGAAACTTCAAGCATATGGTATCACTGTGAAAAAAACTGCGGTTTCAAAAATTTTCAAATAAATATGAAAAAGTGTATTTGGGTTTCCATGAGTTCAATACTCAATTATGCACAAGGATGCGAAGCTTTCTAAACGGTATAATTGCAATTTTCGAGAGCATTAGAGAACGGCCGGTACTGCTTACCTCGCATTTTTAATTGAAGCATTATGATAAGCTGCGAACTTCACATTTAGAATCAGCAACTCTAACTAGCCCAGTTTGAAACTTTTCAGGTTGTTTTGTTTGCTTTCTGAGGCAAAATATGGCGTTTCATGGCTCAAAACCCTCTTCAAAGTTCCTACCGTAATCCTACAGTAATGAAGAGCAGTGGGTGATTCGCTCTACACTGCAAATCTAAGTTGAACCTCGCCCTACAGAATGGTACCTAAAGCTTCCCGAAACACTTCATTACTAGAGAGTTATTTACAATCAAACAGTTGAGTACATTTTTTTGGGACACCCTGTATTTCTTTCCCACTCCCGATTCACCCGCTATGGACAAAGGCTATTATATCATATCAACAACATGCTTAATACTGTTTCGCAAGCCTGTAGTGGTCAAAAGAAGGAGCAGAGTCGATAGCGCTTGCGTAGCAGCTTTTATGGATATGGATATGAATGTGAACAGCTTGCAGAAAGAACAAACAGAAGTGGTAAAAATTGCGCGCAAATGTCCTGTTCCCAAGGCGTCACATTTTGCGTTCCATATGTATCCAAAGAAATGAGAGCATCACTGCGACATTAGTTGAATTCAGAAATCTGGTTACGGCTGCGGAACTACCCCAAATAAACTCAAAGACCATGCTTGCAAGGATGTTGATCTCAATGTCAGCCTGAATTGCATAATTTGCGCTGCGCAGAGAAGGGGTTGCGTGCTGACTAAAGTTATCTACTTACACCCATGAACGGTTTGCGGCGATGAATACAGTCGAGTAGATTTAGCGGTAAATATAGTGTGCTTGCACAAAAGGTGAAATGCGGTGAAATTGGCGCGTGAAGAAATAGTTTCGACTGTGACGTCGGCCAATTGCGCGCGCAAGATAACCGCGGTACTGACGTGGCTACTTGTTCACGCGCAAATTTCACCGCATTTCACCTTCTGTGCAAGCACACTATATTTACCGCTAAATCTACTCGACTGTACGTATAGGCTGTATCAGCCGGCATCGGTCCCGCGCCAGCATGCCCTGCGACGACGCACCGTCGCATGCGACGTGCCTTAACGCGTGGCAGATTTCGCACGCGTCACATCGTATCGTCGCAAGTCGCCGTCGCGACGTCGCACAACCGATGCTGGTTGGTACAGCCTATAGGTGATAGATCAGTACGTCTACTCTGTGACAGTATTGAAAAGCGTCTAGACGACAGAAGTGAGCATACATCGACGCTCTGGGCATCCACAGAGTATTGCAACTTGCAGGATTAAACTTTGTTGAGAATCTTGGCACATGAGCACAAAAACAGAAAAATGTTTGGAAGCATTTTTAGCATGCACCAAACCCGAAAGAACTGGAAGGAAAATATTTTAGCACTTACGCATGAACACACCCTATACAATACCGCTCACATTTTTTGAAAAATAGACGCGAATGTATGGACATGTATGGACATGTACGGACATGTCCATACATGTATGGACATGCCCGTACATATCCGTACATGTCCATACATTATGGACATGTCCATACATCAGCGTCGCGTGGCCATATCTCGCTTCAGAGTGAACGAATTTTGAATCCAAAGCAACCATTCGATTCAGCTCGGCGCGGAGAATCTTCTGATATATTGGAAGTGGAGGTACGATGTCTTCGATATTCCGTTTCCAGTTTCTCCAATTTGTTCTGCGGAGGTCCTTTCGCGAATATGTGAAGCATTCGATAATCCTGTTCTTGTAGATTATTGTGCGCTAAAAAATAGGCTCAGACTTCTTTCCAAAGGAGATAGAAGCGTTGGTGAATTTTGGAAAAATCACGCGTTTTTAAATTCTACTCGCCATAACTTCCTTCAGAATAAGTATATTTTGAATCCGAAAACAGCGCCTTGCTCTCATCATTCACATATACAGCATGTCCTTGATATTTCGATTTCAATATTCTTGAATCTTTCTGAGGACGTCTTTTCGCGAAGGTGTAAATCAGCGAGCATTGACCCGAGTACATTCCAGCAAGGATCTTTCGATAGCACTTTTTCTGTAGATTATGATGTGCTAAATAGTAGCCGCAGGTTTCTTTTCAAAGGAAATAGAACGGCTGGTGAATTGTGGAAAAATCTTGTCGTCCCCAATTCTACTCGCCATAGCCCCAGGATACGAAGCTATCTTGCTAAGCAGATGTGAGTTTCGAAATCAGCAGGTCGGATAGCCTCTACGAGCAAGTTCTCCGATATGTTCGGGTTATTTCATTTTTTCTCGTTTTACGCTCTGGAAGCTCGCCGATGGATTTTGGTCAAAATGTTGATGCTCTTGAATTGTAAGGAAACTTCGCTTATAGAGGTTTTCGAACACGCTACTTACGAAACGTGGTCTTTGAGGATTACAGGGTCTTTTTGGAGAGATACGGTGAGGTGACTGTAACTGCATCACGAAAGTGCGTAACTTTGCCCGCACTTCTCGCGTATCTGTCAAGAAACTTGCCTGCTTGCTTTTCTGATTTAAAATCACTAGAAATTGTGCTATCGAATGATGCAAGACTCAGGCTCCAGTTTGTGAAATTCGCCGAGTTACGAGCCTACGAAAACACGTCCTCGTGAATTTTGCCCAAAATGCAAAGATCGCATATTTCGTCGAAATTTCTCAGTGAGTGCTTGTATGACGCTCGCTGCAGATATTATGTTCGCTTCGTCCAACCACTCCCACTGTATTGAATATGGTGCTTGCGTCTGCTTCAGCTGCTCAATTGAATATCAAAGCTAGTTCGTGGCTAGAGCTCAAAGCACCAAATCTAACACAATAAGATCCATTAAAAATGTGGAAGGATTTGATCAGCGCGTTGTGCAAGCGCTCACGGAGAAATTTCGACGAAATACGGGATCTTTGCATTTTGGGCAAAATCCACGAGGACATGTTTTCGTAGGCTCGTAACTCGGCGAATTTCACAGACTGGAGCCTGAGTCATGCACCATTCGATAGCACAATTTCTAGTGATTTTGAATCAGAAAAGCAAGCAGGCAAGTTTCTTGACAGATACGCGAGAAGTGCGGGCAAAGTTATGCACTTTCGTGATGCAGTTACAGTCGCCTCACCGTATCTCTCCAAAAAGACCCTGTAATCCTCAAAGACCACGTTTCGTAAAGAGCGTGTTCGAAAACCTCTATAAGCGAAGTTTCCTTACAATTCAAGAGCATCGACATTTTGTCCAAAATCCATCGGCGAGCTTCCAGAGCGTAAAACGAGAAAAAATGAAATAACCCGAACATATCGGAAAACTTGCTCGTAGAGGCTATCCGACCTGCTGATTTTGAAACTCACATCTGCTTAGCAAGATAGCTTCATATCCTGCTATGGCGAGTAGAATTTGGGACGACAAGATTTTTCCACAATTCACCAGCCGTTCTATTTCCTTTGAAAAGAAACCTGCGGCTACTATTTAGCACATCACAATCTACAGAAAAAGTGCTATCGAAAGATCCTTGCTGGAATGTACTCGGGTCAATGCTCGCTGATTTACACCTTCGCGAAAAGACGTCCTCAGAAAGATTCAAGAATATTGAAATCGAAATATTAAGGACATGCTGTATATGTGAAGATTCGCCTTGATGAGAGCAAGGCGCTGTTTTCGGATTCAAAATATACTTATTCTGAAGGAA